GTTAATAAACTATTTATTGAATTTAGCCATCAATTTGAGTATAAAGTTGAGTCTATATTGTTGGATAGCCCAAGATTAGAAGTTAAAATGCTTAGTTAAAGAGTCTAAAATGGATCTTCAACTTGACTTATTAGAAAGCTCAAATTTATTTAAATTTGTCAACGTGTAAAACTTAATTAGTTTATTAGTGGCTCAACATATTAGATTGCAAATAGTTGCATGTAAGTTTTTAATGATCCCATTATGAATTTATGTTGTCAAAATTTTCCATAGGGAACTTGTTATTTTCTACAAAGATAGGATACAATGACTCATTAATCTTATTTTTGATAAAATTAATCAATTAAAGGGTATTATTAAAAATGAAGTTTTATTTTTTTTAGATATGTAAATGCTAATATATGACTGTTTCCTTTTTTTTAGTATGAAAAAGACAAATGATTTTGACTATAACCACGCTTTTTTGTGGTTTAACTTAAGTTAAATTGTGAAAAATTCACTATTGATTTCAACCAAAAAAGATCCCATACTTTGATACTTAGAAGACCTATCCCATCTATAGTTATAATTCTGTAATTTGTGTCAAGTTGTATTACACAACTCTTTCTTATATGCTTATCAAGTCCAATTAATTAGGTTAAACTCATGAGGCACCTTTTGAGCATGCTTCAATTTTCCCCCCAAGTTTTCACTTGTTTTAAACAAGTACATAACCGTATAACTAGTAATCTCTTTATCTTATATACATAAATAAATAAATAACTTTTACAAATGAAACAATAACCTTTTTATCATCGGTCTTAAATTATGGTACAATTATATGCATTTTTAATCATGAATTTAGAATTTATTTATAATCATATATATATAACCTTTTACAAATCAAGAAGTAACGTTTATTATTATTATTTTTTTGGTACATAAAAAGTAACGTTTATAGATCAGACATTAACTTCTATAAATGAGGATGCAACTTTATTTATTTTTTTTTTATAGATCACCCAGCATTCAAAAATCTTGAATCATTACATTTGAGGTGGATAAGACTTAATATACGGTAAAACTCTTTCTTACAAATTTTAATAAAATTATATTCTCAAAATTTTAAATTAAAACCTCGGAAAAAGTTCCAACCAACCCATTAATACGGCGGTTATGGATATAATGCAACTTTTATAAATCAAGTAATAATAACTTAAAGCAGGGCCTCAAAGGCCACGTTTCGGATTTCCGGCGAGGTTCCTTCATACAATGAAACGGCATCGTCTGTAATTGATTTCAAAATTTAGGGATTTTGCCTTTTGGACCAGTACTGTTTAGGCGCTCCTTCTCCCTCTGTGTTCAACACTCTGGTTGCAACTGAGAGCCGATTCAGCAGAAGCAGAAAAAGAGTTCATATTCTCTTTTAAAAAAAGGCTGAATTCATAACGCTAACGGGTAAATAAATCAATTCATTGTTTGAAAGACAGTATATGCATTGTTGTAGAAGTAGGAAGGAGGAGAACAATGGAAGGAATTGGGTTTGGGAGGGGATCAGGCCCAAAGGTCGACCCGAAGTTGCCGAACCCTTTTGATTCACTTCGCCATCCTTCTCCCCCCTCCGCCGCTGTTCGACCCACCAGGTATCTATTCTTCCTGATTTTGTGATGGATTCTGCAAAACAATCTTGGGTTTTCAAAGTTGATGTCTTTAAAAGGCTTTTATTTTCTTATACTTCTGGGTTTTCGATAATGGGTGGTTCAAATCTTAAAGTTTTCTTTCTGGGTTTTAGTGGGTTGGGATGAGGTTACCATTGGGGAATTTGCTATATGACTTTAGCTGATTGGAGCGGCTTTTCATGATCAGGATGCATAATGAAACAGTTTGGTTGCTGTGTTTTAGTGTGCTTCTGCTTCGGTCAGGTAATCTAGGAAAAGTAATTGAATTTCTATTTGGATTGCAGGGGACCTGAAGCTGCAAATAGGGTGTCCACACCTCCTCCTGCTTTTGTAAACCCCACTCATGCTAATAGAACTCTATCTGCTGGAGTCCAAAGGTGAGGACCCGTAGAAATTTATAACCTTGTCTTCGTGTTTTTTCTTATATATATTTGGGCTCTTTTCTTTAGTGGCAATAGCTCTGTCAGTGGTAAGCCCGATCTTGTAAGGAAAGGCTTTGGAAATAAACTTCTGTCTCTCTAAATTAGTTCAGAAGTTTGACTAGAGGGTATAAGTATAACTTCTTTCTATTCCACATAGCATGTTTATTGCTTTGAACATGAAAACCTGTATTGCCACAATTCTTACAATCTTCATATGTTGCATGTTTGAGCATTGGTAGGTATGTGTCTGAGAATAAAAGTTTGATCTTGTGGCTACTAGAGGAAGAGATTAACTTGTTGCATATTTGGTTTCAACAGATGCTTTCTACCATTTGTGGATAATATTGCAATATATTCATATAATCATGTCAAACACAATATATATGTCAGGTCATACGATATTATATTATATCTGACCAAGACAATAAGTATCTTCTGTCTTGTGATTGCACAGATAATTGTGACTTTCTTATGGTTAAAAATCATCAACAACTGTATGTCTTGGAATGCTGTATTATAGTCTCTTATTCCTTCCAGGACCATTGAATCTCCTCTTAAATGGGATGATGGGCAAAGATCTCCCTTAAAAGAGTATGATGCCCAAACTCATCCTAGACCAACTGCTGCTATGTCCTTAATTGCTAGACGTGGTTCTGAAACAAGTGTTTCAGCTAAGATTACCCAATTCCCAGAGCTGAAGAGAACTAGATCTCCTACATCCTTCTCTAGAAATGAAGATGTATCAAGATACTCTAGTCAAGCTTCCTTTCAAAGGCATGTTCAATTTATCTCTTTCACTATTTCTTACATTTTACATATTATTTCTTGTGTTTAACATTTTAGTAAAGAATTTTAGTTATCATATTTGAGACTGCTTTAAATGATTTTTATAATTGTTTGTTTGTGCATAATGGTTCGTTTTAACATGTTTCTTTATCAGCATTTTTGCATATAGAAGTTGGAACAGGGGCATATTACTGTCAAATTTTACATTGGGCCTTTGAAATCCTTCATCAACTCTGGTAATGTTAAGATAATTGTCTTTAACAGATTTATAGGCCTACTTAAGGTGAATATTAAATTCTTCAGTGACTAGAATTTCTTCTATGAATGAGAAAAACGAACGAGAATTTTCTCTTCTATTTGTCCTGCATGCAATGCAATATAGCAATATGGTGGAGAACAAGCACACACTTCACTTGAATCATACATATCCATACAAGCACACTGTCTTTTTTTTTTTCTTTTTTTCTTTTTTTCTGTGTGTTTCAAGGTTACTTTAACCCCTTCAGCAAAGAGCTGTTGGTTTTTAGATACTTTAATTCTATTTTTGGTATAGTAATCTGACTCTAGCTAATGTTTGCTTGGTATAGCAATTTGGAATTGGTTGTGCATAACTATGGTCACTCATTTCCACCAACAACACAATCACCTTCTTCAGCTTTGGGAAGCAAATTTCATCCTACAGCTGTCAGTTCTCAAAGGTAAATTCCAGGTTCAATTCTCTGTCTCTCTACTTTTGCTTTTAACTTAAGCCATGCGGTTTGATTTCATCATATCTGTTCCATATTGGCTTTCCTACATTTATAACTTTTGGCAGCTCCTCTGTTTGTTATACAGGCCTGGTTTACAATCCTCTGTGCAGCAGGATAAGCATGCAAAGTTGCCTGCCAATCTTCCAAACCTATTGTCTCGTCAGAACCAATCTTTGCCCTCATCTTATGTAAATCCCTTTTTTCATAGAAAAAGCCCTGCCAATCAACTGACTGATATCCCAAAAGGTATCCGATTTCAACCTATGGAATCTGCTAAGGAAGTTTCTGAGGAGTATCCTCAGTTTGTTCAAAATGATCCTAGAAGGCAAGTGTGAAAATATTCCATGATTTTTTAATGCTTATATGTTTTTCTTTTCCTTCCCCATTTGATAGATGCTTGCCTGTCAGACATAATATAGAGAACTCCTTAGAAAATATTGAGAATCTGTTTGATAATGGTATAAAATTATTTTAGCAAAATCTGTCGGGGTTGAGTTTAAGTTATTAGGAGAATAGCTCCTTTTTGTTTTGGAACCTTAGTTTAAACAATAGATTAAGAAATTCAAGATTTTGACTATAAAGGGTGATGTGCTTGTACTTTTTCTCAAGATTTTTTCTTGAAATGTTTGTGTCAAGTTGTCTCCAATGCCATCATTTAATTTCAGTGAGCTTATTGACATCCTTGCAGGCCTTCAGCATCACCTCCTAGGTTGGGTGCTACTTCAAATGTTCTTTTAAACACACATGATTCTCGAATTTCTCAAAGGGACTTGCCTATGCAGAACAATAAAGTTTCTACCATGGACAAAATCACCTCCTTGCCAGTTTCTAAAAGAACAAGGTCTCCTCCTTTAGCATTACAAGATGAAGTTTTGCTGGCAACCTCTAGTAACAGGCAGGATGAGAATGAACGGTAAAAATGTCAAATCTGTCAATACCATTATGTTCTCAAATATTAAAAGTTCTAGTTATTATGCATTCTGATCTTTCCATGTGACTGTAGAGAAATGCAAGCCAAGGCAAAGCGATTGGCCCGCTTCAAACCTGAACTGAGTGAAGCTGTGGAAATGAGACGAACTAATAAGTTAGATGAAAAGATTTCTGCAAATAGACATCAGCAATCCATGGAGGAGAGGAGAAAATTTGTTGGGGATAATTCAACAGAATCAGCTGGGGATTTCATTGAAGGCAATGCATCATCTGACTTTGAAGGCTTGGAAACTTCCAGCGTTATTGTTGGGTTATGTCCAGATATGTGCCCAGGTATTGTTCTTGATTTCTAAAGTCTAGGAGAAAATTCTGAATAGGAGCTTTCGATCTAGAATCAGTATGCTTAAGCTTCCCTTGTAACTCATAGCTTATGTTTCATCCAAATTATAGCATCTTAAACACAGCTACTTTACTACTGTGTATGTTATAGTTTTCCACTGAAAAATATCTTGTCTGCTGATTTGGTTTGAATTTGCTTTAATTTTCAGAGTCAGAAAGAGCAGAAAGAGAAAGAAAAGGGGATCTTGACCAGTATGAACGTTTGGATGGTGATAGAAATCAAACTAGCAAATTCCTAGCTGTTAAGAAGGTAACTTTTATAAGAACTTTACAACTTTGGATCCACACTCCTTTTTGTGACGAAACATGATGGATGTTCTTTACTGTTACTTTACAGTATAATAGGACAGCAGAGAGAGAAGCAAGTTTGATACGGCCCATGCCAGTCCTGCAGAAGACAATTGATTATCTGCTAAATTTACTAGATCAGCCTTATGATGGCAGGTTCCTTGGAATATATAACTTCTTGTGGGATAGGATGAGAGCTATTCGAATGGATTTGAGGATGCAGCATATTTTTGACCAGGGGGCTATTACAATGTTGGAGCAAATGGTTTGTCCTGATAACGGTACCTTGAATTTCTATTTATATTATATATCAATACTTGAGTAAAACATCTTGAGAATGGCATTTCGTTATCAAGGAATGCGCTTTAGTCCATATAGGTGGCTGTGAGGCTTATTGTATCTTGCATGTTGTTATGTTGACATCCAATCTATTTGGGTGGGTTTCTTGTAGCTTTCGTGTGACTTTATACTATTAATGTCTGCTGCATGTCAGATTAGGAGGGCTACTTTTGTAATCTTTTCACTTCAATCATATGATCTGCTTCCTTGTTCTTTTGGAAGCAGCTGGTTTGCTGGCAAAATGGTGAAGAAGATATGTAGACTTAAATATTCTTGTCGTGAAGCATCTGCTACAGAGGAAGCTTCTTTGAATATCTTTTGTCATTGGGTTATATAGGAGCTGGCAGTAGCACAAGCTTAAGTTTATTCCATTTCATGTAAACAAAATAGTTTTTGTTCACTGTTTTTGCTTGTGTTAATGTATTATTTCTCCATGTTTATTTTGGTTTCTGAAGCTTAAGGTATTTGCTTTTGAAGGCATACACTTGACTCATGATTATAATTGTTTTTTGCCTTCTAAATTAATTCTGACTGCTGTCTGGGCTGGCAGATAAGGCTTCACATTATTGCCATGCATGAATTATGTGAATATACCAAAGGAGAGGGCTTTGCTGAGGGATTTGATGCACACCTCAATATTGAACAGATGAACAAAACATCTGTTGAATTATTTCAAATGTATGATGATCACAGGAAGAAAGGAATAAATGTGCCATCTGAGAGGGAATTTAGAGGTTATTATGCACTTCTCAAACTTGACAAACATCCTGGTTATAAAGTAAGTAATCAGCAGTTGCAGCATAATTGCATCAGTTTTATCCAAATGTTGTCTTTGAGGATTAAACAATCCATGTCAGGTTGAACCTGCAGAGCTCTCATTGGATCTTGCAAAGATGACTCCTGAAATAAGACAAACACCAGAAGTTCTGTTTGCCCGTAATGTAGCCAGGTTGTTACATACTTTTGATTTCTATTTCATTTTATATGTCTGATTTAGTTCTAATTTTAGACTCTTGGTTCATCCAGAGCTTGCAGAACAGGTAATTTTGTTGCCTTCTTTAGGTTGGCAAGGAAGTCTAGTTACCTTCAAGCATGTCTAATGCATGCTCACTTTTCAAAGGTATGAGAAATTTTCTTTTACATGGTGTATAATTAGATAATTAGAATATTAGATAATCCATTTGGAATTTTTGGATTTCATTATTTGGAAATTGGAAGCCTTCTTTATGTCTCACCCTATACTGTTTTCTTTAAAATGATACTGCCAATATGAATATGTGATTAGTGTTGATAATTTGTTTCACAACTAAGAGGGTGTGGCATAAACATTATGGTTGGTAGAAATGGTAATAGGAAAATGTCAGTAGGGAAGGAATTATTCATGAAATTACCAGGTGCTTAATTTCTGATTCTTTCTTGTTTTGCACATAATCACATGATGCAATCTTATATGTTTCTATGTACACAGACAAAGGAATTGGTAGTAACATTGTTTCATGCTTTGTTTCTGTGCAGTTAAGAACTCAGGCCCTTGCTTCTCTACACTGCAGCCTCCAGGGTAACCAAGGTCTTCCTGTCAACCTTGTAGCTAGATGGCTTGGGATGGAGGTACTTCTTGGCATAAATTTAACCTTTAACCAGCTAGTTGTGAAATTTCTATTTATACTGTTCTTTTGTTCTCAAATTTAGGAGGAAGAGGACATAGAGAGCCTTTTAGAGTATCATGGGTTTTCTATAAAGGAATATGAGGAACCATACATGGTGAAGGAAGGCCCACTTCTTAATGCTGAGAGTGACTATCCTACTAAGTGTTCCAGACTTGTTCAATTGAAGAGGTTGGGAAGTATTTCTGAGGATGTGTCAGCTTCTTCTGAAATGGTTTCCTTGCCTGTGGAAGCACCGAGAGAAAAGCAGCCGGATAAAATCTACAAGCATGATCCGATAGTGACTGATGTCAAAAAAGCTGATGAAGAAATGCCTGATTGGGTGGTTATTTCACCTCCAAAGGACCAGACACGAGTGCAGTTAATGTCTGGGACTTCAATTGTTGATCATAGAAGTCAAGATGGGCATCCCAAGATTAGCACATTCTCACTGTGGAATCTCCCCAAAGCACATAGTTCCCCTCGGTCCCAACCAGCTAATATTGAAGTTGTGAAGAAACATGATTTCAAAATATTTCCACAGAGAGGGATGGAGGGCATGCCATCACATATTATCTCAAGAACAACTCTTACTGAAAGATCTCCTAGTGGTAAATATGATAATTCTGTGGAAAGCCCAGGTCCCCAAAGTACGGTAATTGATGAATTAAAATCTCAGCCAGACAGATCCCCAAGTGATAAATACAATAATAATGTTGAAAATTTAGTACCTGAAACCAGGGCTGTTGATAACTTTAAATCTCCAGAGAGATTAACAAGTGGTAAATATGATTATTACACTGTGGAAACTTCAGTACTTCGAGGTGTTACCATTAATGAGATGGAAGAAGATGAAGGACCTCTGGATACTAGTCAAGAAATTCAAACTGATGTAGTTATGACAAATTGTCATGATGAATTTGCTGATGCAAAACTAAAATTGATTCTAAGGTTTGTTAATAGGTCGCTTGTTCCTATAGTTTTTTACTGTAACTAAAGTTAGTAATGTGCTATGTATAATTATATTTCATTTCTTATGTCAGGCTCTGGAGACGGCGCTCTGCAAGGCTAAGGGACCTACGTGAACAAAGGCAGTTAGTGGCTGAAGCTGCACTTAGTTCACTATCATTGGGACCACCAATTCAATATAATAAAAATGTAAGACTTTGTTATCTTTTCCATTTGTTCATTTTTCTACTTCGAGAAAATTCCTTGATTTGCTGCTGCCTGATTTTATTTCTGGCATACATATTTTTGTTCTTGTTAGTAAGAGATTTAGTGGGCAAGCAAAGTTAAACGATCTTTCTCCATCTTAACTTTATTGATGTTCATTCATTTATTGTTCCTGTTTGGCAGAGGGTCCCTGTGGGGGAGCTTGATTTTGATAATGTTATGAGGGAGAGATATGAAAAGCGTGAGAGATCATGGTCAAGGCTGAATGTTTCAGATGTGGCAGCAGGTATATTAGGACAAAGAAATCCAAATGCTAAATGTCTTTGTTGGAAAATTGTCTTATGTTCTTATGTTAATGGGCTGGAAGGAGGTCCATTAATGCAGAAGAGCCAGCTTGCTAATTGTGCAGCTGGTTCATGGTTGTTCTCAAAGCTCATGCCTTCTAGAGAAGAAACTGATTGTGATCTAATAGCTTCATATCCTGGCATGTCAATATGGAAGAAATGGGTTCCTAGCCAATCTGGCATGCATGATATGACTTGCTGCTTATCAGTTGTGAAGGAGACAAAAGTTGATAATTTGAACGAGACAGTAAATGGTGCAAGTGCAGTTTTGTATCTTGTATCTGAAAGGATCCCATGGAAGCTTCAAAAAGTTCTACTTCATAACCTTATGATATCAATTCCTTCTGGTTCTAGTCTGCCTCTTCTGATCTTATGCGAATCTTTCAGTGGAGAAATTTCTGATCCTTCATCAATTATAGCTAATGAATTGAGCCTCCACGACTTGGACAAATCACGAGTAAGCAGCTTTTCAGTTGTTTTCCTTGCTGGTAACCTGCAACTGGGACAACCAGATGTCTTTTTCAGTGATGAACAACTAAGGAAAGGACTGCAATGGTTGGCGAGTGAGTCACCCCTACAACCTGCTTTGCAAAGCATCAAGTTACGCAAACTTGTGATGTCTCAATTGAGTCCTTCATTAGAGATGCTGGACAAGATGAGTGGCCATGATGTTGGTCCAAACCACTGCATCTTTGCCTTCAACAAAGCAGTAGATTGGTCATTGGGAGAAATTGTTGCTGCTGCAAAAGCAAATCCTACCAGTTGGCCTTGTCCTGAGATTAATTTGCTTGAAGATTCTAGTGATGAGCATTTGGTGGTGAAGTGGTACTTGCCAAGTGTAGGATGGAGTTCAACTGCTGCAACAACTCCACTTGAATGTGCATTAAGAGAGTGTAGACTTCCTAGTTTTTCTGACGATATCTCATGGTTGCATAGAGGCTCTAGTTTTGTTCAAGAGATTAAGAACCAGAGAGTACAGCTTCAAAATTGCCTGATTAGATACCTGACACAATCAAGCAAGATGATGGGTGTCCCACTAGCAACAGAAGAGGCATGTATTATGCTACAGAGAAGCACACGTCTTGAACTCTCCAACTTGAGTTATCATGTAGTTCCAAACTGGGTTATGATTTTCCAACGGATTTTCAATTGGCGGCTAATGAGTTTATGTACTGGAGCCCCCTCTTCAGCTTATGTTCTAGAGAGTCATCTTTCTGATAAGTTGGAAGATTTGGATAAGTTATGCCTTGAACATAGCACTCCACTTCATTGTTTTAGACAACCATCCCTGGATGAAGTAATTGAAGTTGGTTGTAGCCCCTTGAAATCTGGGAGGGGTGAATTCGAGACACAGGCTTTTCAACCTGAGATAATGTCCAATGGTGAAATTCAGAATCCTGCCTTGACAAGCATTTTAACAGAGGATGAAGAAGATCCTTCACATAAAGGTAAACAACTAGTTGTTGCAGAGGACGTTACTCCCTTGACCACCAAGGTAAATGACCATAACGGTCAAACATTTGCAGCTGTGGGAGAGTCCGAAAAGATTAACAAGTTGTTAGAGCAATGTAACATGATACAAAACAGTATAGATGAGAAGCTATCGATTTTCTTCTGACATGCCAATTGTGTTTGGACAGAACAATTTTATATCTTGTATATGTAACCTCACTATTGAAGAAGATGAGGTTTTGTATCAAATAGTTTTTGCAGCATGAGAAATGTTTTTTGCACGATGAGCTTCGCTTCTGTGAGCTTTCTGTTTCTGGCTTTGCATAGTGAACCACCGAATCATTCACCTGCCTAATTGTTGTGCATCATTGGATAATAGTCTGGGTTTTGATTTGGACTGATTCAGAAAGGAAGGACGCTTCCGGCAGCTCCAATTGAGCAAGCCATGTGGGTCATCATTTGGAGTTTGCATACATCACAAATTTGTCATCCTATGAAGCATGGTTAAGGAAAGAAACAAACCTAACCTCATAAGATATTAAACATGATTGGATGAGTTTTCAATCATTGATTGGCGCATAGATAAAAGGACAAGTCCTAGACAATCGCATGCATATCATCGTGTTCATACAAATAATGGAACCCGTTGGAAAACACAGTTTACAACCACGGTATCTAGTTTTCTGACTTTCTCAATAGCAGGACACAAAACTTAATCTGTACATCGTTAAGATCCTGCGCTGACAAACAAGAAGAGTTCTTCCGAACTGAGTGTGGAAAACATATCTTCAAGTTAGTGTTCAATCATTTCATAAGCGAATGTCCTTAGACTTGAGCTCAGACTTCATTTGTTCCTCTTCATGTCTGAAGTTTTGAATTAAGCAGGCGAGGAGAGTGGTTTGTTTTCCTCTTCTTAGACCTCCATGAATTTATGTGGTAGTAACGGTGTTATGAGTATGATTCCTAAGAAAGCCATTAAATCATGCCCGTGTAGACAAGCCTGTTTGCTTCCAGTTGCACCACTAACCCACATCCTGTTATTAGTTGAATATCATTGCCTCAGTTTTTTAAATATCAAACCCCATTTAAATGTAACTTAAGATAACATGTTAGCCAAAATGAGAACACAATCTCAACAAGACGAACTATGAATCCTTCCATAGGGTAGTTATCAAATTTAAAAGACTTAAGCAAACAATTTGAGATTGGTATTGCAAAAAGAAGGATAATAGGCAGCTTCCTAAGCCCTAATCACATATGCCAAAAAAAAAAAAAATTATGCAGAGATATTGGGATTTACCAGAACAGAGCTTTCTGAGGGCCTCTGACTCGCTGGTGAGGCAACAATAATAGCTCCACTTTGATTCATAGAAACACTGTAATGATAAGGTTGCTGACAATCTAAGAAATTACTTCCACGTTCCGCCTGGAGACAGGGGAGTCAGTTCCTTTGCTTGACCTATGGGTCCTTCTATCTGTGGCACCAGCACTTGACTGCAGCAAACACAAGAACAATTAGTGATTACAAACCACTTAATAGGGGTAAAATTCCCACCTCATCCTCCAATGCACTGGCTATGTATCAACTACAGCCTCTAGAAATAGAACTTTCCCTACTTTTTACAACAAAGGTGGATAGAAATTCAAGCCACCTACAAGACAACCAATCAAATCCAAACCTTTTACCCTAAATAAGTAATGTATACACATTTGCTGTACTTGCGTACAATTCAGCAAAGTAGACAATGCAAAATGGAAGTGTCTTGAGCATACAACGTACCATATTTGATTCCAGCTCTTAGAAACTAGCAGAAGAAATAGGAGACAAGGTCTTACTAAAGCATTAATTTTATTTAAAAAATAGCAAGATAAACAGCCTGAGTAAGATTCAAATCATGCTACATTAGATAAGTCTTTAATGTCTACAATAATGATTGTAATATCATCAGTCCGGTTTTCATGATCCAACCATAATTTGTAGGATTCTCCTGCAATTACTGAGCATGCATCCCGGGGATCCGAATATCTTGCTGCCTATGAGAGGAAATAAATAATAAGATTTGTTAACAACCATTAAGGAAGAAAACTTCTTCATAGAAATTATCTTTATGGCAAGGCCAATAAATAACCTCATTACTAAACTATATGATTTGATGCTAGATTACATATACAGTTCTACTATACTAGTGGAGTGCTTAGTGAGGCCAGAAGGCAACTTCAGAAATGCAACTAGTGATCAAGTTAATTCGCAGAAGAACCAAAGGATAACACTAATAACTGCTTAGAATATAAGGACAAAAATAGACTACTATAATGATTCTCAAAATAGAAGACTCCAGTAAGTGCTGTGGCACTAACATGTTGCATATCAAACATGGTAATTGCTGTAAAACTCAGTACTACTCAGTACTAATCAAACATAATAAAGTCCTAATGAAAAATGCAGGTATATGCGGTCAGAAGCATGCACTGAAATGAAGTCCATTCAGCAGTACACCTTCAACAATTGCATGCACTTGAGAAATATCATGAAGATACCATTAACAAAGAATGGACTACTAAAACATCAAGGGATTATGTACCACATAGACAGTCAAACATCATAGTGAATACTGAACACGTTATCCAGTTATTATGCATCACTAATTTACTGCAGGGATTGAAATAAATCATACCCTGTCGACAACAGCTTGGCTAGATAGAAACTCGAAAACCCCATCACTAGCAACGATGAAAAATAAATGATTAGGTGTAAGCTGGATGGTAGACACCTCAGGATCAGCAATCACGCCAATATTCTCTGCGATGCGATCTCCCACACTCCTGGTGAATGCAGTCCCAGGGTACATTCCATCCTGAACCCACAACCTCGGAGGATCGCCACCATGAGTCTCTTCGTCACCCCAACTCTGAATATCTGGATCCCCAAATCCTTCCACTTGACTAGCACTCAAAACCCTGGCTCCACACTCCTTTACTCTCTCACATTCGTCTTTCCTAAAAGGCGTTTGATCATGAGACAGATCCTTCGCCAAAATTCGATCTTCATCCTTAACAGCAATCACCGCCCTCGAATCACCAACATTTGCAACATAAAGGGTATCTCCAATAACAAGAACAGTAATTGCAGTGGTACCACTCATTGAATCATCAATCTCGCTATCATGCAACTCTAGGTTCGTTGTCATACAGGCTGAATTATAAGCTTGCACAGGATCATCTGCCAACGTGGGGTCATTGGCCAAAATTTCTACAAGCCTATCCTTGGCAAAATTCGAACACTCAGTACCAAATTGGCCATGCCCATCAAATACCCCAAAGAAATGGATATTTGGGTTACCTTGAAGTTTCGTTTTGATGCAGAAACTGTCTTGGTTTCCCTTGTCAGGATCGTCTGGGTAATAACCACGCTGTGTTAAGAAGCAATACTGCAAAGTGTAGTTGTGAGGTGGAACAGCAACGTGCTCCAATGCTCTTTGGGTAATGAGGTGTCTGTTCTTGCGACTAGTCACCTCCCCATTGTCCTTGGAATCACTATCCGATGGTGATGGGTAGCGACTACAACACTTGCCATGCACACAACCCATGATGCGAACAACAGATTGAACACCTAGGCAAAGAGTTCAAAGGGTAGCCCAGATGTTCGATTAAATTCCTGAAAGAAACTGATGAAAATGGAATGAAATCCTTGTTGTAAAGAAGCAGTATTCGTGAAAATGGCAATATGGGTAACTCCTCAAGTTCTACATTCAGGCCATTAACATGGCAATTTTGCACAGAGGAACAAAATTCAGAGATAGCCAAGAAGGGGAAACAGAGGAAAGCTCAATTGGAAATAATACCCTTTCTCAGCAAATGAAAGCCATTTGATTACTTAAGCCAAGAAAGGGGTTTGTTCAGAAAAGCAGATAAATAAACCCAACAAGGAGAAAGGATAAGAGGAATGAAGGAGCCCCAAATGAACTTTAAATAGAGCAAACATGTTGATCATAAGAACTGGTGCGTTTTCTCTCACACACGCCACACCCAATACTGAACGTGGTTTTGGGGTTGTTTAATTTCAAGAAAGAATTGTACCTTTCTTGAGAGAATACAGGATCACGGCTCAAAGACGAAAGGAACACAAATTGAAAAATTCTAAACCCTAGATGGTGTGGGGGGTTTTTCAACTTTCGAGAGGCAAAGGAAGGGAGATTCGATGAGTGCATGGGTGGGTTTGTCTCTGCTTTGGGAAAAGGGAAAATGTAAAGGGAAATAGAAAGAGAAATTCTTTTATGTGAGAAAGGG